GACGGAAAGGGTAACTGTCATGCATGAAAAGTGACAGTTCCTCTTCAATATTATTATTAAATAGTAAAGGTGATCTTAAACAATGTAATTATTATTTTGCGCATGAAAATGGACAGACCAGCTCCTGCATTAGAGACATCATCACAGAGACAGCAATATGCCAACACATTGATCATAATTTCTATTTTCTTTCATCATTTAACTCTCTTTGAAATGAAACAGGCATAGAAGATGTCAAGGTAAGTATGAACACCCTATATGCAGTGCTTACATTTATGTTAATCAAGAGAGAAACAAAGGAGAGCTATGTATAACTGCACTTTAGATTGGCCGGGATTAACGCTACACCTTTAAAAGGCAAAATATCAGAGTCAAGAAAAACAAGCCAAGGGCAAGCATAGTATTAAAGAGTCAAGTGGGGGAAAGGAATACAGAGATCAGAGTCAGACAAGCCAAAACAGATATCCAGGATCAGGAACACGCTAGATCAAGGACGCTCTACCACAACAGTGAGCCGAACAGATTCAAAACTCATGTATTTTATGTATACATCTGGGGTGTTTACTTGATAGCTATGCCTTCAAAATATGAGTGGGTGTAGGGGATGATGTAATTATGTCTCAATGACATCATGATGTCGATGTGATGTCATTGTGCCATAGAGAGAGGTGGAGCTACAACATCTAGCATCAGAAACACTGGCAGAGGTGTCTAATTACGCAAAATTGATGCGGTGCCTACTTGGAGATGCAAGACGACCAGGTGAGGGTGTAGCGCAAAGGTCTGTATCTTTACAAACAAAATTTGTAACTATTCTTGGAAAACAATTTTTTTTTTTTTTTATTGTGGGTAATCTGAAGTTGCTAAAACATTTTTTAAAAAGCCCCCTTAGAAATTTCACAAACTGGATTACATGAAACAACAATCTAATACAATACTTTAATATTGGGAGCTTTGTTAGATGCAAAATTGCTTCTGTTTTTAAAAAACAGCATTCCACTCAAATGTATTAACTTTGTAAATAAAATGAAAGAAATATGTTCACTGCTGTTTGTTGCGTTTAAGGGCATTCATGCACAATATGTCTCCAATTTCTTAAATTTAAGTACAGCTTTATAATGGGACCCAGTCCAGTATACATAAAATCCTACTATATTGCTGAGCCTGCTAATTTTTATCTCATAATTTTGATTAATTAAACCTAATAATTTCTGTAGTAAAATTTATGAATACTGCCTAATCTGGATTGTTAAAATTTGGGGTAGATTAAACAGCCAGTAAATAGTTTTCAGGAATTCAGGTACAGTGACCATAAATGAAAACATGAGAAAGTTATGATTATAGCTTTCCTGAGAACACTTTACAAAAGATGAATTTGATGCAATTGTAGAGCAGTCTTATGTTTATTATACGATTCAATGCACAGATTGCTGGGCTGAGCGTTTTAGTATGGAAATGTATCTGGTGAGACAGATATTATACAAAAATTGTATTACATAGACACTGTGTTTGACAATAAATGAAAATATTTTAGGGTTTAACCCCTTAAGACCGCAGCCAAATGTACAAGTTGTGATCAAAACAAAAGTTAAACAAAATCTGGCATTTGCGCTATATGTCTGTCCAGCCATAATTCACCTCTTTCATATTAAATGCACCCACACTTATTATATATAATTTTATTCAGGGGAAACAGGGCTTTCATTTAACATCAAATATTTAGGTATGGAACATAATGTAATATGAATAAAATATACAAATATAGAGAAAATAAGATTTTCTAAAATTCTTAGTTCTATGTGACATTTTAACTGTGAATGAAACACATTTGTATTCAGCAATGTCTCACGTGTAAAATAGTACCCCCTATGTACAGGTTTTATAGTGTTTTGGGAAGTTACAGGGTCAAATATAGCATGTTACACTTTTCAGTTTTTTCACATTGAAATTCGCCAGTTTCATTACATTGCCTTTGAGACTGTAAACCCAGGAATGAGAATTACCCCCATGATGGCATTCCATTTGCAATAGTAGACAACCCAAGGTATTGCAAATGGGGTATATCCAGTCTTTTTAGTAGCCACTTGGCCACAAACATTAGCCAAAGTTAACATTAATATTTGTTTGTGTGAAAATGCAAAAAAACAAATTTGAACGCCAATTTTGGCCAGTGTTTGTGTCAGGGTGGCGGTCCAGTGCCCGGGACCCAGACACTGTCGGGGCGGCGGTGCGAGGACCGGGACCCAGTATGCCCGACGTTCAGAGTAGGAGTCACAGTGTGGAGGCGGATTAGCAGGGTCTGGTGCTGGGTAACCGCACTCCCCCTGGTGTTGAGCACCAGCATTTGTGCAGCCACAAACCAGAACCCTGATTCAGCTTATGCGGATACCAGGAACTAGGAGTTTGGAATTAAGCAGACCTCCCAGGAGCTGAATAGGGAGGCTCTGCAGCAGGAGTGTATCCAGTACAGAAAGAAGGCAAGACTAGAGATAGGCACCAAACATGAAAACAAGACAAAACTAGGAGAACCCAGAACATGTACACAAGACATGAGGAAAACAAGAACATAACATGGGCATGACTGGACAGGACTGTACATGGACTGGGATTACAAAATAAAATAAAACAAGACAAGAGATACAAGGTAAAACAAGAGGAGACATAACTAAGCACTATATATGAAAAGTATGGGGATTTAGTTACATTATATGATCATTGATTGCATAAGCCTGCCAACAATGCCAATGTACCCCATTTCTGGCAGGTCCTACACTGCCTAATGTTCGCTAAAAGAACCATACTAAACCACAATAGCACTTACCTGCAAGAAAGGGCAGAGACTTGAAACACTGCTGCAGGTCCAGACTGAAACAAAAAAAAAAATGGAAAACAAACATTTAAAGGAAACCTGGATACTGGGAATCCCATGAATGGATTACAGGAATGAACCCAGAAATCCCAGCAATAAAGAAAACCAGACATAGAATAGAAAACCAGAAAAACCAAGAAAAACTAAACAAGAATTGTAAAAAGGGTACTGGATACCAGAAACCAAGGCCAGACATCTCCACAGAACAGAGCAGGATGTGACAGTTTGTGACTAAGTGGCTACTAAAAAAGACTGGACATACCCCATTTGCAATACCTTAGGTTGTCTAATGGTGTGGCAACATGGGGGTAATTCTTATTCCTGGGCTACCATAGGGTCTCAAAGGCAACGTAACCAATCTGGCGAATTTCAATGTGAAAAACTGAAACGCAAGCCTTATATTTGATGCTGTAACTTTTGAAAACACCATAAAACCTGTACATGAGGGCTACTGTTATACTCAGGAGACTTTGCTGAACACAAATATTTGTGTTTCAAAACAGTAAAAAGTAATACAGCAATAATATCATCAGTGTAAGTGCTGTTTGTGTGTGAAAAATGCAAAAAAGTCACTTTCACTGACGATATCATCGTTGTAATACATTTTACGGTTTTGAAACACTAATATTTGTGTTCAGTGATGTCTTCCGAGTAAAACAGTACCCCCCATGTACAGGTTTTATGGTGTCTTGGAAAGTTATGGGGTTAAATATAGTGCTAGCAAATTAAATTCCCTTTACTTTCGGCCTTGGTTGTCAGGCAGGTCCCTCAAATTGTAATTAATAAAAGGACCTAATTATGTAAAATTATTACATAAATATATATGTATAAAAAATATATATGCATATACATATATATGTATAATTTTTTTAATTATTTTTATTTATATATAGGTATACATATAGTGATATATACGTATATACTTATGTATATAGATATATATATTTTGTTCTACGTGTATTTTGATATCAATATATATATTAATATCAAAATACAGTTAGAATGAAATTACACACATATATTTTTTAATTATTTATTTTTTATTATTTTTTAATTTTTATTTTTTAATGTATTCACATTTTTTTATTATATATAAATTTATATAATTATAGTTATATATATATATATATATATATATATATAAGCAATATCCTATGTGTATTTTGATATTAATATATATATATATATATAATTATATCTATATATTAATATTAAAATACACAGTGTATGTGTAAATGTGTATATATATATATATATATACATATATATACACTTAGATCATATATATAATATATATATATATGATCTAAGTTTATTTTATTTGTAACTGTAATATATTTTATTTTTAACTAATATTTTATTTTTCACAAGACAGGAGATCACTGGCTGACACACAGGATCAGTGATCACAGTGACCAATAGACTGACACATAGTAACTCTGATCGCAGTGACAGGCTGCCACTGCGATCAGATCGCAGTGAGCGGCTGTCTCTGCGATCAGATTGCAGTGACAGTCTGTCACTGCGATCAGACTCTGCAGATCGCGGGCACTGACTACAGAGTGAAAATGCTGCGGCTCCATGGACACATGGTAAATACCGATCGCCGTGACCGCCTGTCACGGCGATTGGAAGCTTCAGACCGCACAGAGGAGCTGCTTATCTGCAGCGGCCATGTGCTGCCGGCCACGTGGGAGGCAAGACCGCCCAGGGCGTTCTTTGCCGCCCTGCGGCGTTTAGAGACATCCAAATAGGGACGGTATAGAACGCCCTGCTGTCTTAAGGGGTTAAGTGATATGCCCCACCAAAAATCACGCAGTGCAGCGCTAAATAATACAAACACTTACCCCTTAGTATATACTTCGGGGCAGCATATTGACTATATAAAGAAACAAAGAAAGCAAAACAAATAATAGTGCAACTTTGTATGACTTAAACTTTGGTATATCAACGAGAGTAACACTCACATTTGAACAAGCTATTTGTAGGAATAAAAGGCTCTTTTTCTTTTTCAATTTCCATGACAGTACAACAATAACACCAACTAGTATTGTAGGGCCGCTAGGGCTTTTTACCCAGAAAAGAAAATTGCATCAAGCATGAATACATTTTCCTTTTTTTCCTTAGACACTTACTATTTCACCGAAACCAGGGGTGCCAAAAATGTGTTTTTGGAATGACAAAGCATCATGAAAGTTGCAGTTCTAAAACCTCTGGGAATCTACCTTTTGGGCAGCCGTGACGTAAGCCTTATTCTTCTGTTTGTCCAAAATAGTTGTCCACTAATTGTACCTACACCATAACTTTCCCATGAAGGTCAGGTAGATAGTTTGCAAATTGTAATTGGGTTCCTTTTAGTATTCTGCAGTCCGAGCCCAGCCTAGGTTAGAAGTTTGTGTTTTAGGCTAAATCCACTTATGCGCAGCAGAATCTTTCATTGTCTGACCATGAGCATAGGTGCTGGAAAACCAGGGAATCTTTGAGTTGGAGTAAAATTATTCTAAAATAATAAAAGCAGAGGTTTAAAATACAGTAGAAAATAATATTTATCTGACATGAAAGTGGTATAGCAAATAATTCCAATGATGCAGAAATCACTTTCTTTAGGGGAAAAAAAAAACCAAGACCATAAATTTCCATTTTAGGAAAGTCCTTCCTGACTTCAAAATAGCAGTCCAATTTCGCCAAGCTGTTATTAAAGTGACACTTTACAGCTCATTGAAGTTGTCTTGATGCATTGTCCAGTCTCCTTAACCTTGCAATTGTAATTATTGCAGTTATTGAAAAACTGCAATAATTACCTTGCAGGGTTAACTCCACCTCTAGTGGCTGTCTACCAGACAAAATGTTCTGTGTTGTTTTTTTTGTTTTTTTTTAACATGATGGGGTTACTGATATCTATAGTATTTTCCCCTTTTCAAGAATTGCACCAAAGGATTTGCAAAAAGCAGATATGGTGCCCATTGTTAAAAAGGCATCAAAATGGCAGTCTGGAAGATACAGACCTGTCCCCTTTTTTTATGGAGTACCTCACCAGTCCACACAAAAGTGCTCCAAAGTAAGAGCCCGGAAAAGTATTTTAATTGTATGAGTTTCTTGTAGCAGACAAACAGTGATGTAACTAAGCAATTACACAAAGCTCTATGCTCAGATTAAAAATATAGGCTCGGTCCTACTGATATTGGGGTACTTGTACGCAGTGGATGGCTTAAAAACAATATGGTAATTCTGTGTGACTAAATCCCCATGTTTTGTACACGAAAAACTATTTCAAATAGACTTTAAAGATTGAAATTTGTTTTAGGGATTTTTCTTGTGTGCGCAGATCGTTTTGTGTGCATTAGGATACAAATTGTTTTTCAACCAGTGGCAGCCAATCACACATGTAAAATAGTCAAATCCAGACATTACATTTGACACATTGAATTTTGTAAGTAAGGATGCTGGTGCACACGACTTGTCTGATATGAAAGAACACTTGGAAGAAATGAAGCCAAATTCAGCAGTGAATTTATATGCCTAGTTGTGCTTAATGACATTTATTAATTTGTTTTTGTTTCTCTTTCATATTCTAGTGTACCTAATTTAATTCCAATGTGATGACTTCAACCAAACCACTACATTTGATTTAACAGTCCTTGGCTCTGAATGCTATAAATACCCATCAAATAACGTAACTATATTTTAATATACAAGCACAAATACGGTGTGGAATGTAATGATAGAGAAAAAGATTGTATCTATTACATTAATCAGATTAAACTGATATTATGCTGTAATTTGGTGCAAATAACGGCGCAATCACTCAACTTTTCTTTTTCTTCTTGTCGTTGAGAAGGTGATACTATAGTCATTTTCCCAGCTGCAATTATACTGAATGCTGTTTGAGATGTGTTAATGCAGAAGGGCCTGAGTTATTGTTTGTTCAGGTAGTTAATTATGGTTCTGTGACTTACAGTTTTCTGTCGCTGTAGACCATAAGTCATCCACTTTATTTTTTATTTCACTCAGTAAAATTATGCACTCTTCCTCAGAGTAAAAAAAAAGAAAAGAAGAATGTGCAATGGATTTGGGTACAGAGCGATCTACAAGTGGTGCACAACAGGCCATAAAACAATACTTTCTAAAACCTTGTATTTTAGTTATTGAATTGTAGTGGTTTCTAAGTGAAAGTTTCTTTGTTTGAGCAGAAAATATTGTTTTCAACTGGTTTGTGTATGTTTCATGTCATTATATGTGCAGCCCACTCTAGCAGGGTTATTTACAAAACTAAGAATTCATTGCTTCTTCCATTATAACCTCTACTTAGGACTATGAATGAATATGTTTCATCTAAATTAAAGGACCACTTTGGCACCCAGACCACTTCAGCTGAATTAAGTGGTCTGGGTGCCAGATCCATCTAGTGTTAACCCTGCAGCTGTAAACATAGCAGTTTCAGAGAAACAGCTATGTTTCACTGAGGGTTAATCCAGCCTCTGGTGGCTGTCTCACTGACAGCCGCTAGAGGCACTTCCGTTCTTCTCACTGTGAACGCTGGACGTCCATAGGAAAGCGTTGAGAAATGCTTTCCTATGGACTGTTTGAATGCGCATTCAGCGCTGACGTCGGCAGAGGGAGGAGAGTTCCCCAGCGCCGGCGCTGGAGAAAGGTAAGTGTTTAACCCCTTCAGCCAACTTTTAGCAACATTTGTGTGTCACCCAGAGTATTTGAAATCCTGAGACATTCATTTCACTGCTTCTGCAGAGAAGTAACCAGTAGGCTTGGAGTTTTGTATGATTATGAACTGCAATTTGTCTGAATTTGGGCCAATTAGGTTAGACTGTACAAATTCCCAAACTCATAGAAATAAATACGAACCAAATGAAATTCCCAATGGACAAGCATGTTCGTTTAAATCATGATTTGGAATTCCGCCTTTGGTATCATAATAAGAGATGATTGATGGCTCGGAGACAGCCACTAAATGTTGATTTTATTCACAGATCATGTGACCGATAGAGGAAAAAAAATAGAGCAGTAAAATAATGTATATATAATATACAATATATTATTATTATTATTTATAAAGCGCCAATAAATTATGCATCGCTGTGCAATAGGTAGACTAACAGATTACTTATTGCAATAGTATTTGCAATAAGATGAGTTAGACACACAGAAACAGATGGTATTGAGGGCCCTGCTCAAACGTGCTACATTCTAGAGGGAGTGGGGTTAAGTGACAAGGTATGGGTAAATAAGTGTATTTTTTTTTAAACTTTTACCACTACTCCTCTTTTTTCTTCTACTGGTTAATATTTCTGACTTCATCCGTGAAACAAATGTTGGGAAAATGCACCTATGCAGGGCACACTTCAGGTTCTGGGTTGCTCTACCTCAGGGTTCCCAACCCAGTCCTCCAGTCCAGGATTTAGGGATTACCTTGTTGTGTCTAAAGTGTTTTTTTTTTGTTTTATTTAAGACACAATTGAGTAATCCTTAAACTGTTAGCCAACTAGAGATGTCGCGAACCGTTCGCGAACTTCCCGCGAACGGCTCGCCACGAACCGTTCGCGGCGAGCTCCGGTCAGCTGACACATCCCGGCCAATCTCCAGCAGACCCTCCCTCCCAGACACTCCCACCTCCTGGACAGCATCGATGTTGAAGGCAGCTTCAACATGGATGCTGGCCAGGAGGTGGGAGGTTCTGGGAGGGAGGGTCTGCTGGAGATTGGCCGGGATGTGTCAGCTGACCGGAGCTCGCCGCGAACGGTTCGTGGCGAACCGCGACGTGCCGTTTGCGGGAAGTTCGCGAACGGTTCGCGACATCACTATAGCCAACCTGTAGACTACAGTGAAGCCTGCTACATACAAACTGATAGCAGTCGTGATATGGCTGTAAGTTTATAATGCATTTTCAATCGTGCTATGTGCTGCAAGCAGGGAATAAACTATTTATCTCATAAAGACTTTGCACACATGAAAATACCTTTGTGCTCATACAGGAGTCAATACAACGCTATAGGAAAATATCTTCTTAATTGTTACAAAAAATACATAAAATCAATTAAATTATGGCAGGTACTAGAGTGTACTGACACTATTATTAGCTGATTAAGGGGACACAGGGCATAACACATACAGGTAGAGGCGTAACTAGAAACCACAGGGCCCCGGTGTTAAAATTGCCCTGGGGCCCCCCCATACATCTACCACCTACCCCACGTGTCCCCACACCCCTCCCCCCCACACATGCAGATAGATACACATGCAGACACATACACACACAGAGACCCATACATAAAGACATACATACAGACACATGTACAAACACACACACATACACTCATATACACACACTCAGACATATAAACACGTACACTCACAGACACATACACTCACAGACACACACACTTACAGACACACACACACTCACAGACAAACAAATACACATTCAGACACACATACACTTACAGACACATACACATTCAGAAACACACAAAACATTAATATTAAATGTCTACCCAGCCTCCCTAACTGGAGAGGTGGCGTGGATCTGTCCCATAGGGGGGCGGCAGAGTTCCTGTCAAACGCGTCGAGGGAGCTGTGTTCTCGCTGCTCTGCTCCCTCGCATGCTGTCTACTGATGCCGGGAGCCGGAATATTACATTTTCAGGCTCCCGGCATCAGCAAACGGCACGCGAGGGAGCAGAGCAGAGAGAACACAGCTCCCTCGCCGCGTCTGACAGGAACTCTGCAGCCCCCCTATGACAGGGGGAACACGGAGGGGGTTGCATCTAGGCAGCCCGAGGCCACGGGGTCATGGCTGTGGCAGGCCCCCTGCAGTGAGGGCCCTGGTCGAAGCTGCAACCCCTGCGACTGTGGTAGGTATGTCACTGCATACAGGGTTATTACCAAAACACCGGATTTGGCTTGGCTGACAGAGTGCTCTGATTGGTTGGCTTACTAGCCACCCCCCCTCCTCTTCCCCCATTACCACCATCATAGTAATATTATCTTATTAACCCCTTAAAATTTGTATTTATTATTTTTAATTAGTTTACTTTTTTAATGTGGTGACTGGCCAATTAACCGCCACACTGTCTAGGGTTTTCAATTATTTGACCGCTGGCAAGTCATTCGGCTTTTTTTACATTTTTTTATTTAAATCCATGGTTGGAGTTGAATTCTCTAAGCCTGAATTTTCTGAATTCAGCCTAGATTTCAGCAATCCGGCAGCCTTCAAGGCATGCATTACAAAATTCAGACAGTGATCAATTCCATCAGTGTCTGAATTTTGCAGTCTGAAGCAACAGGATGGTTTTCCCCCCGTTTGGTTTAGTCAGGTTTCGTAATCCCAATATATACTGGTCTTGTATGGCTATATGGAATATAACTTTAAATGACATAATAGAGGAATTGCTGGGTTAGCAATGGGGATATTTATTCATCCCACAAACCCTTGCTGGACAGAAGTTTAAGATCATCCCCATAGACCAAAATGAGAGCTCCTCCTTTTTTATTTCTTTTTGTTTTACTTCCTTCTTTTTTCAATATGGTTAATGTATTTAAAAATATAGTTATTTTTATATAGACTGAACCTTTAGTTTTGACTTTGATCAATCTAGAGCGTTTTTGTAATATATTTTTTCTTACATGCTTGTATCAGTCTATCAGTCGGCTCCAATTACAGCCAACAAATGGACTTTCTAAAATAATGGCATATTGCCTCTTGTTCACACCAACTAGTCTAGTCAGCTGCCCCACTCCCCTTCCAGGTCTTTGTTGTTGGCAACAAAAACTCTGTAAACAAAAATAATAATAAAAAATGAGATCTGTGAAAATCTAACATATAAATAACCCTTTCATCATCACACTGAACAGAAGTGTGAATTGCTGCTCTCTAACAGGGCTATGTTACATGGGAACGTCAAGGGGGCTCTATTGAGTGGGTATTAAATGGGGAGATTAATTGGAAGGTGAATCATGGTTAATTGGCAGGGAAAGGGGGGGACTTAAATAGAAGAGTTGTCATGGGAATGTATGGATGTAAATTGAGTAGTTAATTGGTAGGAGAATCAATGTAAAGCAATTGGGGTTAATTGGCAGGGGAATGTAGGAATATATTTTTGGGACAAGGTTAATTTGAAATTTTAGGTAAAAGGTATGAAGGTCACATTGTGTTGGGATACACAGAGATGGGTGGTAATGGTGACTATATCTTTAAGGGGCATTATCTAAGGAAAATTTCGGGATATAAGGAGAGGACAAATCAAGTTTAATCTATATGGAAACAAGAGTTGGACATGCAAGGTTATTACATTTAATAATGGGGGATGGACAGATCACATATGGCATATCATATGTGGCATATCTACTACATATTTTAAACAAGTGATTGGGAAAAGACCACTTTCCATGGGAAGAGGGTGTGGGCTGTAATAATAATATTCAAAGGGGAACTTAGTGTCCCCCCTCCACACCCCCACCCATGGCCGGCTGGTGGGAGCTCTAAATAATTATACCAGGGTGTAAACATACCATTTGCAACACCCCCGATTAGTGGCATGGCTCACCTCCTATCCACCCCCTTAAATTAAATGAAATCTAATAATAGTATAATTAAGAAAAAACAAAAACCCTGTGACAGTAAGCCCGATTTTAAATATGAACTATCAGGTATGTTGGAGAGTTTGTAAGTTTAGACTTCTA